GTTTGTGCCAAGATGTGGAAGGTTTTTAAATGTTTATTTTTCCCAGGGCCGCCCGGATGGGGGGGGACGTACAAGTGGGGCAATTTGCCCAGGGGCCGCAGAATATAGTATTCTATAGTATTACAACTTTTTTTTTATGGAAGGGGCCCCCAAAATTGCTTTGCCCCAGGCCCCCTGAATCCTCTGGGCAGCCCTGCACTGACAGTGTAACAGCTAGTGGGAGCTGAGGAGAAAATGTTTTTTTTCCCTCAGAAAATGAAAGCAGACACTACCCGTGACCATTTTTGTTTTGTCAAAAAAACAATTTTCTATTTAAAAAAAAAAGTTTCAATGGACAATTTTCAACCAGCCCCAGTAACTATCAGTGTACTCACTGTGTATTTTAGGAATGATATATATACTTTCTCAGCAGAGTGCACTATCAAGAGCCTTGCTTCTGACCCTGTTACCCTGCTGCTGCTGCTGCTATTGGGTGACTTGAGAATTACAAACTGAACAAGGAAAAAAAATTGAGTCTCTCTAGACCCAAACTTAAACTATTACAGCCTCTCAAGGGACCTTCACCAGATATTAGCACTCCAGCTACTTTACTCTTCTCCTGCAATGAGTGTTGCTGCCTCCAATCCCCTCCCTTATTCTCCATGCCCCTGTGTGCCTCCAGTGCTCCTTACTGAGACCTGGAGCAGCCAGCCCCTCAGTGAGTGTTTCCCTCTCCTTCCCTCTGTGTGTGACCCATTCCCCTCCCTCCTCTGTCACCTCCCTGATACCTCACAGTAGGGAAGAGACAGGACTCAGATGTATTGTATCTAGAAAGGATTCTTTAGCGAGGCAGCTGGACACAGATAGACCATCCTGTGGTTCTCCCTGATTCTCAAACTCCCAGACTGGCTAACAACTCTGGGCTGCCTAGTGTCCCTAAATTCTGCTCTTCTCTTCTGCCGACTAAATAAGCCCAGTTCCCCCAGCCTCTCCTCATAAGTCAAGTGCCCCAACCCCCTAATCATTTTCGTTGCCCTCCGCTGGACTCTCTCCAATTTGTCTATATCCTTTCTGTAGTGGAGGGACCAAAACTGGATTGCATCCAGTTTTGGTCCCTCCACTACAGAATGTGTTTTGGGGGCTAGGGGTTTCTACAGATGTGGCCTCACCAGTGCCAAATAGAGGAGAATAATTACTTCCCTTGATCTGCTGGCCATGCTCCTACTAATGCAGCCCAATATGCCATTAGCCTTCTTGGCAACAAGGACACACTGTTGACTCATATCCAGCTTCTCGTCCACTGTAATCCCCAGATCATTTTCTTCAGAACTGCCGCTTAGCCAGTAGGTCCCCATCCTGTAGCAGTGCATGGGATTCTTCTGACCTAAGTACAGAACTCTGCACTTGTCCTTGTTGAACCTCATCAGATTTCTTTTAGCCCAATCCTCCAATTTGTCTAGGTCACTCTGAATTGTCTAGGTCACTTCCAATTTGTCTAGGCCATCCATGAACTTGCTGAGGGTGCAATTCATCCCATCATCCAGATCATTAATGAAGATGTTGAACAAAATCAGTCCCAGGACAGACCCCTGAGGTACTCCGCTTGATACTGGCTGCCAACTAGACATCGAGCCGTTGATCACTACCCATTGAGCCTGACGATCTAGCCAGCTTTCCATCCACCATGCCCCTCAAACACATAACCTCAGTCCCCAATACCTGTGATTGGAATATTTGCTCACTATAGGGGCTTGAGTTGGGGAGTTTGGCTTGGAATTTGAGCTTCAACAGAGGGGTCATCACCCAGAGTTCTAATTGGTCCTATCTCTAAGATCATTTTAACTCTTGAATAAGGGTTGATATTTGGTCACTGCATGAAGTTTTTCATTCAGCTGCTCACATCTAGCAGACAGGGCTACTGTCAACAGACCTGACTGTTTTGGGGGCTAAGGGTTTCTTTGCCTTTAGTACCTCCAGAGAAGAGCACGGCGCAGAGTGCACTCCAGAAGCCCACGTGGCGATTCCTGTGGTTGGTCTCAGCACTGTTGCTGTTGCTGTGTGTCTCTCTCCTCATTGCCCTCATTGGTAAGTATATACTGGTTGATTATCCAAGAGGGAGAGGAATTGTTTGAGGAGGATGCCTGAGGGAGGAGAACTGGGAATAAAGGAGATAAAATTAAGCAAAGAGGAAAATATCCTGCTGGACAATCAGGAAACAATTCCCAGCAGAGGTGTTTGTTAGACTGTGGAAGAGTCTTCTTGAGGACAGGGTGGGAGCCCAAAGATTTGGGCCCGGAGAAAGCCCTGAAGAATATATTGTTGGGAACAGTCCTTGTTTGGCTGGCAAAGGGGGAAAGGTGAGTGGCTGGACAAGATTAGAAATGGGCAGCAAGCAATATGGTCACTTGAGAAAAGTATGTCTGGGATATGAGGGAAGGATTTGGCAGTGGGAGGAGGTGCGTGATAAATGTCCAGAGGATCAGGGATGTTAACTAGCAATGGTACGGTGTGAGATGCTCAGAAGGATCAGGGGAAAATATCTAGAGCCGTATCAGGGCATCAGTTCTAATCCAACTCTATGTCATGTAGACTGGATGAGTTGAGGGATCAGGAAATGGGGTTCTGAGCCTTTCCATTCCCTTCTAGAGCATCAGTTCTGCTCCAGCTTGTGGGTTCCAGGTGACCCAAACGGATTGGGGGATGGGATACACAGCCTTTCAGCTCCAGGACACTGGTTCCAATTTGGCTCCAGTTCAGGCAGAGTGGATGGCTCAGGGGAAACAAGATACAGAGCCTTTTACATCTGGGGCACCAGTTCCTAGAAGTAATTTCTAATCTCTTATAACTTTTTTACTTATGATCCAAGTATCTTTAAACATGTCTAGGGCACTTGTCCTCAGTGAGGATATCATCCTCATTAACAGTCCTGGAAGGTGCTGTGCACCATCAGTTCACTGACTTCAGTAGGAATTGAGGGTGCGCAGCACATCAGAGGATACGGTCACATATCTATGGAGAGATCAACTAGTCTATTTTTAAGCCTCAACTTTTGTTTTAAATGGAATGTATCTTTCTGCTCACTGAGACAGCTCAATTAACTCCAACCTACCATAACATTTGGGCTATAACTAACCATGAAAAATTTCTGCTGTAACCCCTAGACTGCTGCTTCTCCATTAGATCACTCAATGCATTTCTTAAGCTGCTTCACCCTCTACGCGCTCCTTTCAACTAGCAACACTTCAAGAAGTGGAAATCAGGTGCCTAAATAAATTAGTAGCCCATATCAGACTTAGTCATAAAGTTAGCAAAAATAAAGTATCTTATTTATCAAGAACAAAAACAAATATTATCTAACATGGAATTGGAAGCATTAAAGAAATCGTTTTATGCATAGAAACCACTCATCTTACCTTGTCTGTGTAAGTCTGTCTTGAGCTTCTTAATTATTTACAAATATACAGGCAGATTGTGCTGTGACCTGCCCGTGTCTGGTGTCACTGCTCAGCACCAACCCCTGTTGCTGGGTTACTGGGATGGCTTATGGAGTCCCTCACTCTCTCTGAGGAATCTTTCTCCTCCAGAGCCCACCACAATCTACCTACGAGGGGAGCTTCTGGGACCAGGGACACACCAGACTGAGCTCCCCTCAGCATCTTCAGGTTCCCTCCTCAGGTTCAATCCTTCCTGAGTTAGCCCAGCTCTCCAGGCAAGTCTAGCCAGACCTTCTGTCTGACCCCCACACCCTCCAACTTCTGGTTCCCTTGACAACCCTGTCACCATTCCCAGATGTCTCTCTCTCGATCCACTCTCCAACATCACCTTGACCAACTCCCAAGAAGCTCCACACCCCCTGGTGATGTCACCAGCCTCGGCAGTTCTTTCACAGGGAGCTGTGGGGAAAAGCAAGAGTTTTCTCTCTGCTTTAATCTCTCTAACTATAGTCAATTCTAGGGGCAGAGTTGCTTCTAGAAAATGGGCATTGTGTGGCCTCAGAGTTCTGAAAGACGCATTTGCGTGAATGCCGTTTCTGACCACCTCAGTTACAGGAGTCGTGTCAATAAGTTACAGCAAGAAAATACCCAGACTCCACTGATTTCTCCTCCACTGGGAAACCAACCTACTAGGCCCTGACATCTGCTACTGCTTGGATGAGGGGTACCAGTATTAATAACCTGTTGCCTAGCCACATTCACCCTGATCTTTCCCCTGTGGGTCAGACACTCTTTTTGCAATACTGATTAAGATCGGTTGGCTTATTCTGGTCAATCAGTATATCTGGTCCCCACCACCAGCAGTGATATGAAGAGAGCTGAGCTGCCCTATTGTCCCAGGGAAGGTGGTTGTTGGCACTTGTGACAATAATGGAAGCTTACAAAGGGACAGCCACATTGGGACAGTCCATGGCCAGGAGATGAAGAAATCAGGTTGCACCCAGGCAGGGGAGAAGGAGGATAGAGTTGGATCCCTTCTCTTTTTTTCCTCTCTTGTTTTCCAGTCACTCTACTCAAGGGAACTGGAGGCTGTGAAGAGCACAAGGCCCTGCCCCAGAGTTCTGCAGAGTGGCATTGTGTCCTGGGGAGAGCTGAGGAGAAAGGTCAGTGACACTGAAAGAGAGAGAGGGAGGGAGGGATTAACCCCAGCATCATCGTTCTGGGTTAGGGGCCTGATTCACACCCAGCTCTGGATCAACACGGGGCCGGAGGGACTGATGTATGGGGGAGAGGATGGGAACAAAATGAAGTCTGTACAGATTGACTGAGTGAGGGCTAAGAGGAGAAATAGCGACGTTCTACAAGTCCAGGCAGAGTGTGAACAACAAGGAGAGGGAGGGGTTAGCTGAGAGTGGTCACAGGAGGGAGGGATAAAGGGGAGCAAAAGAAACTTATTTCAGGATGGGGATGAGGAAACATTCCCTACCTTTGAGGGCCTATTAGACTATTCACGAGTCTCCCCAAGGAAAGGGGTTGAACATTAACTGAGTCATTTTACCTTTTTCTAGATGTCAGCTAACACGTTCGTCTACACTGGGTTTATTGACTGTCTGAGCTAACATGTTCTAACAACGCATCTTCTAGCCTAGTCTAGTTTTCCATCTCTCATTATTACGATTTCTTCTCCTTGACTTTCTCTTCCCTCAGGGCAAGTCTGGACATGCTGCCCCATGGGCTGGAAGCACTTTCAGTCCAGCTGCTACTACTTCTCTATAGACACCATGAACTGGAGTGACAGTGAGACAAACTGCACAGGAATGAGTTCCCACTTGGTGGTGATCAACACAGGAACTGAGCAGGTAACTCTCTGGGGATTAGACTCTTTGGGGAGCTGAGCATTCAGATCTTTAGAAGACCCCATGCGCCCCTGGTATTTGGGGTCTATTGAAGGTGAGCTGGGAATTCAGTCTCCCTGTTCATTCAATCCTGGGATTTCCCAGCCATCACCTTCTCTCTCTCTCATGTGCATGCATACATGTGCTACAGGGATTCCTGCCCACTACTGTCAACTCAATGACTGAATGTGGACAATTAATTTGTAATTTTTTTTCAGGATTTCATTTTAAATTGGATAAAAAGAACTGTTACATCCTTCCAAAATAAGAATTACTATATTGGTCTGACAGATCAGGCACAGGAAGGCCAGTGGCACTGGGTGGATCAGACTCCATATAATGAGACTGCAGCGTGAGTATCTCCTGTGATGGAGACCAGTTACTGTCTTCTCCTTAGTCCCACAGGTTAACATAGAGTAACGGTCGTGCAAGGGGGTGAGGGTTGCAGGGAGGGCAAAGGAGCTCCGGTCGTACTGTAGCTACAAGTGCTTCTTGTCCAGTAAAGAGCAGCTTTGTTGGGGGAACATGAGCAGGTTCTATAAATCCCTTTTAAGGAAACAGTGTAGAGCCTGGTAGGAGAATCGTTCGGGTTAACTAAAGGGTTTAATTTGCCCCCTTCTTTCATCCTCACCTGTTACAAGTTGTTCAACTCTTAAAACTCATACCAATATGTATCTCACACATGGTTCTTACAGATTCTGGAGACAAGGTGAACCCAGTAATAGCAAAATGGAGAACTGTGCTGTCATGCATGCAGAGACAAATGCAAATAGGAAGAATTGGAATGACATTCCGTGTTCCACTAAAGTAAATAGAATTTGTGAAACTGATGCAACAAGGTTTTGAGGAACGAAACCCCGTCCAGGACGTGAAGCCAGAAAGAGAGAGCGCCCATCCCTGGCTAGAGGAAGCTGAGCGAGAGATCTGATTGGAGGGTTTGGTTCAGATGTGGGACTTGTGCTGTAATTATGGAGTGGAAGGTTACTGTGTTTAATGGTTCAAACTCACCCATATGCACAAAAGAATTTTGGAAAAAAAATTGGTAAAATGTTCTGAAGTGGAAAAGGTAATTTTCAGCAGAACTCTGTTTATGATGTCACAAAGGTGGACTATGCCAGCACCCAACACTTCTGGAGGACCTGGATCGGTAAGGGCAGGGCCCAGTGGCTTTGGCCTTGAAAGAGCTGAAGAGAGAGTTACTATTCACAATTAACCCACTCGGTGCTGCTAAAGTTAATAACATCCCATGTAAAGTCATCGCTTCCAGGGTGCTAATGTGTCAGTCCCTGCGGAGATCAGTGCTGTAAATGGGGAGTCTCTCATCCTGTCCCTGCAGTCCTTGCAACTGCAGTTTCTAATGGGTGTTTCAGCTTTCAGGATAACGATGCATGAACCAAACCCAAACTTTAGAGCTGCTGCTGTTTCATTCTCACTGCAAACAGTGTGTCTGCACATCCATCAGGGACGGGCCAAAGGGACACATTTTATAATTGTTACATGAAAAGACCTTTGTGCGTCTGCAGGTCAGCAGAATTTAAGCCCAGAAGTAAGGTGTCTCTATGCCACAAATCCAGCTGCATACAGCCTCATTGTCCTGTAACCCAGTTCCAACATACACCTCTACCCCGATATAACGTGACCCGATATAACATGAATTCGGATATAACGCGGTAAAGCAGTGCTCTGGGGGGGAGGAGGGGCGGGCTGCACACTCCGGTGGATCAAAGCAAGTTCGATATAACGCGGTTTTACCTATAACGCAGTAAGATTTTTTGGCTCCCGAGGTCAGCGTTATATCGAGGTAGAGGTGTAGTTCTGTTCTGAGGCTTTATCTTTGTTCCCGGAACATCCT